TCTGTAAGTATATATAATATATTATAATTAATATTCCATTTGCCTCTACACAGAAAATTTGCTGAAATAGAGGCAGCGAACCATCAGCTGGCGTCTGCTTTATTTGCAACTGATAAACCCCCCGATCATCTAACTCCCAGACTATCTCACATTGTAACAGAAGTCACAGACCAGTCACCCAAACTTTCAAAAAAAGGTAAAAGAGCCTTACTTTTTTATTTTCAAAACCTGTTTGTTCTGGTTTGGTATAAGTTTGATGACTCCTTGTTCTGTTTTCTAAGGTATTGAAACTTTTATAAATGCTGACATAACCGAAGCGCTTCCTGAACAACAAGAGGATGTGTGTGACCTCTGGACATTGGACAGTCTTTTGGACACCCATGTGGATGATAAAAGTTTCTCACCGTGCAAGTTCTCCAACAGTAGAGGAAGAAATCCGAGAACTGAGAAAGATGGCAAAGCTTTGAAAAACAACCCTGCAAGCTCAATGGAGAAGGACATCGACTTCAGCTTCAGCTTCGAAAGGCAGCCAGCATCTACTGATTTAGAAAGCTTGACTCAAATGAACGACAGAGTCCTAGAGGACAGCATGTCCTCCTGGTTTGGGTCCATTGAAAGAACAAGAACATATTCGAAACCACATCTCACCAAGTACCATGACGTGAAGTTGCTCCCCACAGACGTTGATGTTCAAGACCTGTCACCTCCTTCTCCGGTGATTTCACTCTTGTCTTTGGATTCATGTGATTTGGAGGTTCAGATGCTCATAGATGCAGAGCGCAATGTGAACCAAGTGCAAGATGCCACCATCGTAGAGAGTCTCCAAATGGATATGGTGGATGACCTTGACCTCCTGGATAAAATGGCTGAGTGGATGGATCGCAGTGAAGAGGATGGACGATGTTTACAGGAAACATGTGCGTTTCCAAGCTCTCTGGATTCAGATCTAGAGAACCTAACAGGTTCTGGTGGTGGGGCCACCAACTCCATGTCCAATTTGGGCCAAACGGGTCGTTCATTTTTTGCTAATGTTCTCTGTAGTCAAGAGCCACATAGACGTAGTTTCCATCATGATCAAATAAACTATGCTATGAACCACAATATCATTCTAGAAGACCGGTTTGGTCAGGTTGAACCTTGCATGAAGACGAATGGAAAGGAGGATTGTTATTTAGATACAGATTTTTCTGTCATGGATGGTAATGTTTCAAGCAACCACATGTTCCCAGGATTTGAGAGACAGTTGGACCAATCCAAAAGGATTCTTCATGACGACTGGGAACAACAACCTCTAAAAAGTCCAGATCAGATTATGATGCAAGAAACTGATATCAGAAATGTTGACAAAAACATTGTGCAGGTTGAGAATCTCAACCAGACTTTATCAGGCCCCCAATGCCCGATAACATGCTGCCTTGAAGGCTTTTGTTATCATAAAGAAGACTCGTGTTTTTACACAAAATTCAGAGGCAGTCACAACTTTGAGGGCGTGGCTAGATCTTTCCCAGCCACACTGCATAAGCTCCACCCCACTCCAATTCCGACTCCACCTCTAGATGATGATTGGTTGTTTAGTAATATTGTGGCAGAGGAAGAGGTAAATAGCATGAATAATACATTTGGAAAGTACTGATCAGTCAATGGACAGTAATTGTTGTTTTCATGAATTTCATTGTACCTGGGGATGTTTGATTTTTACACTTTTGTGATTTTATGATCATTTCTGTTAAATGTTCTTGTCTGTGGTGTGAAAAATGTAATATTTTTTGTAATAAAAACTGTATGAGTATTGGAACATAATACAAAAAAATCAATTATTTAAATGGATCAATTTACTTTTCAAATGTCAAATTATTGTATTTAAAGAGCCCTGTGATGGACTGGCCATCAGTTCAGTGTTTCATTATCTTTGGTCCAATATGGTTGGACAGGCTTAAAAAATTGCTTTAAAAGTTATTAATATATTATTTTATTTTTGCGTTTAAGTTACATTATGAACATGAATTAAACTTTGGAATTTTAAAAGTCTGTTTATTTATCAATTTAAAGTGATTTATTGTTATACTTAACTACGCTTTTAAATGTAAAATTAAGTTTTAAATATCTATTTATTTATTCATTTGAAAAGCGATTTATTGATTAATTTATTTATTCATTTACTATTAGTTTATTTTATTTTTAGATATAACCATGTTTTTAAACTTAGCATACTGTAAAACTATTTTAAATGTCTAATAATTTGTCCAATTCAACTGTGATTTCTATTTTTGGTTAATAAACTGATGATTAATTTGATTCCTTCGTTGTAATTTTATGTGGCACTATGCTGATGGTGAATCGATAGTGTGTTAGTGTGAAAATAAACCACACTGATTTCAAAACCAATGGTATATTAAAATTCACCCCAGTCTCAATTTATCATTATAGCAAAATAAAGCAAAAGATCAAATGAACAACATGGTTAAAAATTCAAGTTCCACAAATGCAAAAAAGCACACAGTCCTCTTCGGAAACACTTCAGATACAAACATGTTTCTCCGCTGGAGTTTTAATTCCTTTTCATACATATTCTCTGCTATTGTCCACTCATCTCACACCGGTTCAAAGCTGCATTATAAAGCACAGGTTAAGTATAACGAGGCTCATTTATTAACCTAAAATTTAGGATTCAGAGAAATACGACTGGTTTTTGAATTCGAATGCTCTCCAAATTGATTTTTTGAGTTTGAACAGCTCTGCAAATCTTGTACAAATCAATTAAAATGACTTGTACATTTGTCAGTGACAAACCACATTTTTAGCAGCAATGTTGAGCTGCTTGAAAGGCAAACAGTCAGATTATAGGCAGATGTAATTTAGGAACATGGACAAATAAGCAGAATAAAAACAATGTTTGTTTTTTTTTGGCTTGTGTGTGCGCTCCTATCCTTTTGTCTTAACAGCGTGGTTTCCTCCCTTTCAGTCAACATTTTACAACTAAATACAATTCCATCTTGATTCTAGAGATCAGAATTTTAAAAATACATTAAATGAAACATTATTGGGGCAAATAAAACAATTCAAGTATCAAAATGAATCTATATAACCTATTACAGACATTTTACGTACAGTGATGATCTAGTACGAAAACCCTGCTTTCCGATTTATAGGACAGATACTGTTGCGGTATTAATAACTGCGGTAATAACAGTGTAATAAACTCCTCAGTGCATCAGCAAATCAAATTGTAATTTCACAGGCTGAACAGATCTTAAATATGTTCTAATACTTAATGGTGACAAACGATTATTATTCACAGTTTAGCATGTGTAAGTCAGGAGCAGTGTATTAAAATGCTCATCACCATACAATATCTATGAATGACAATATTAGAGACTTGCGTGTAGTGAAGGTTAAGGAAACTTTCATTTGTCATGAATTCATCAATTAAAAAAAAAAACATTTCAGAACCAATCAGCAACTGTAATCTAAAAAGTATCTATGAGAAGGATGTCTGAGTCAGATTGCTGTTCAGGGAGACCTAATATTGCAATTTATTTATCAAATTCCAGACCTCGTTCTTATTATTTCACTGATTTTCAATGGACTCTACAGGCACTGTTGACATGCATACAGCTAAAATAATGTCCCTTTAGTCATCCATACGCCCCAGATTGTGTGTAACAAATGCTTTGATCCATAAATATTTACCACATTCAAAAATGAACAAACAAAAATACAATATGTCCTTTTGATTCAAAAAAAAAAAAAGTTACATTGATATAATGAGATAAGTAATAACTAGCAGCCTTCAAACCCTGGGAAAACAGGCAAGATATTATATGTTTATATCTTCCAAGTTCACACCATGACATAGAAACTCCCAGAAATCCTGATAACAACAGACTTCTCACTCTTGCCCAGTGCCAAAACCATATTGACGGATGTATTTGAGTTTGATGTGTTATATTCTTTGAGGTCCGCTGCAGCTTATTTAGTGAAAATGTATTTTTTATTCTGTCCAGTGTTACTGACTGATACCCTGCTAATTGTAAACCCATCCTTACCCTCAAATTCTCTTTCATTTCGCCTCGTTTTCACTTAAGACTGCAAACTATACAACAACCATGACATGTCTATGTGCAGACAAAAAATCAATACAAAACAAAATAAATAGACTGCATACTGGAATTCTCTTATTTGATCAAAATTACAACAAGTCAGTAGTCTGAAACTGGAGCCAATGTGTTAAGACATAAATTAAGAAATCCTAACTACCTATCTATGTCACTACTAACAAAAGCATCCCTTTAGAGCTACCTAACTATCTACGCACAGTATCTAAGAGGGTTCGATCTGCAGCACAGATACCCTGAACTCAATAGGGAGTTGAACTGAATACTAAAGTTTGAATGAGATCACAGCAGGTATATTTCAAATATCGTTACTGTTAAATCTACATGGAGATGAAATCTGTCAGCTTTGGCTGCTTTTCTTTTGTTTTCTGCTATAAGTCCAGTATCTGTTTGACCTTTTATGCATTTTTTTTTATTTTCTGTATCCTCATTTTTTTCCTTATGGTCAGGTTATGGCTAAGATGTAAAAGCTATAATGGACAGCTCAAATTTGTAGCATATTAATTTAATAGAAAAGCATTTTTCTCTTTCTCACTTGCTTGTCTTTGTTTTATACAATCATAGCTTTGTGCATGTAAATTGCCATCTATGGAAGCCCCTTTTTACCTCAGAGTAAAAAATCAAAAAGATAACTGTGACAAAGTTTAAAATAAGAAATAAAGTCACGCTGTGAGATATAAAGTCACAATTATGAGATATAGGGCCAGATTTACTATCAGCTTGCGCCAGCACAAACCCTCATTTGGAGTTAAAAAAACGACTGTCAGGATTTACCAAAGACACGCAGTGGGAAATTAGCGCTGAAAAGGTGTGGACGCAGTTATTTTTGCGACTCACCTTATTTAATATGCATTTGTAGGAGTTTCTCTTTCAATCTGTAAATTTATGGAAGGTAAGTATTTAAAATAATCACGCACCGATTTACATGCGCTCGAAAATTCACTGGTATTTGCACCATTATTTAACGCCCAAACAAAGCATGTCTTAAAGCAGGCATTAATTTGCCCTGCTCTTGGTAGATTGCGCAGGTCATTATGGAAATGAGATGTTGCGTCTGTGTTTTTTAATGTGCATCTTGTCAGTAAATAACCTGCAGAATTTTCCCCTCCCATTGGCGCTTTTATGGAATTGCTCTCTAACGCTAATTTGCCCTGTTTAGTAAATCTGGCCCATAAAGTCATACTGCACGATAGAAAGACATTAGGTCAAATTTCAAGTTACAAAGTCACAATTAGTGGAAACAAACTCGCAGCTGCGAGATATAAAGTCACGGCGTGAGATATAGTCACATTTTGAGATATAACACCACAATGCGAGTTATAAAAATGCAATTGTAAAAAACAAACTTGTTTGTGAGATGTAAAGTGACAATGTTTAAAGAGAAAATTGAAATCGCAAGATATGAAGTCACACTGTGAGATATGAAGTCACATTTTGAGATATAATGTCACATTGTGAGTTATAAAGTCGCAATTGAGAAAAACAAACTTGCATTTGTGACATATACAGTCACAATTTTAAGGTATAGTCAAATTGTGAGATATAAAGTCACAATTATGAGAATCAAATTTGAGGTAGTGACATAAAATTGCAATTACCTTTTTTTTCTTTACTGGGGTGGAAATGGGCTTCCATAATCATCATCTCTGCCTAATTATGTATAACAAAAAGCATTGTTGTCTATTTATCTGAAGTAGAGCGATCACTTTTAAAATTTAAACACAGAGATATTCTAAAATACCAAAGAGACATCCTTGATCCTGTTCAACTCTCAATTTCTTAAAACATTACATTATTTTAGGAGTGAGAGAGAGAAAGTTTCTCAGTGCTTTGAGGGTTTGATGGCTTGATGATGCATTTTAGCCTGATCGTGGATCATCTGTGCAATACCCGATGGCCTTTGATTGCCATCAACATGCAAATTTCTCCTAAACACATGGCTTTTGATTGATTGAGAGAGAGCTTGAGATGGCCGTCATAATTTTGCCACAACAAGCCTGATATACTGCATCGATATACAGTACTTGTATTTCCCAAGGAATGCTGGGAAATGTCGTTTTCTTTTCTCCTCAACTTAAAAACTGCAGTCTTTACTCACTGCTTGCTTAGTTTAAATAGTACCATAAGAGTACTGCATCAGTCTTTCTCCATCTTGCATGCTAATCTGTTCATTTAAAATCAATAAATCACATGAACTAGTTTCAAGTTATGTGTGACAGCACGGATGTTCTGTTATGTGTACGATTGCAAAAGCTATGTAAGTTAAACCAGTAAAACTGTCCATCTATCGCACTCTCCCCTTCTTATTCAGCGTCGGTAAGGCTGTATGGAGGAGGGGGGCCCAGGGTGTTGTCTGAGGGTGTGGGGGTACCCGGCGGGCCGCTGGACGGGGTGGGAGAAGCACCTGGATCCTCAGAATCAGAGTTCTCCTGAGAAAGGTCATCCACCAGAGCCCTGCGGCCAGCACGCATGGAGATAGGGAGCGGAGCTCGCCTGAGACACAAACACAGAAATAGAGAATTCACTGCAATTCATACACAAAATATAATATACATATACAGTGTCCCCAAAACATTATATATGCATTCGACACAAAATATCAAAGCAAGTTTGGACTTTTCTAGACATTTTCACACTATAGTTGTTTAGATCAGAAGT